GTGTTAAACACTGTTGGCACCGCGCCAACTCGGGAGCAAGAGCAGATTATCAAATAATGATTTATTACTTTTTGTTAAAATTTCGTAAAGAGCCCAATGCATCAATATAATGCAATACCGAGTTAGAATGGAAGACGAGGAAACCGAGGGGTGATATTTATACGTAATTTTGTATTAGTTAAATGCTAACTTGTTCAATTTCCAGTTTCAGTTCATCGTATCCGGCTATATCATCCCATTTAACATCCGGAACTTCCAATACAAACTGTCGGATCCCGGTTGGTGGAATGCGTTTCAGTGCTTTATCAAATCGTTTCAGAAGAAGTGACTGATCACCATCCGTTACATTGTAAAGTGAATAGACACTTTCACAAACTGCTTTCAAATCATTCCCCGTATAGCCATGAGTTCTTCTGAAAGTGAACAGTTGAAAAGTACGAAAAAAAAAAACGCGGCACATTTTGAGAGCAAATTATCCGTATTGAAAGACAAATTCATAAAATTGCTAAGTGTTTTAGAAATTTTAAAGATGCAAACAATGAATATCTCTGGCTAGGGAATTGGAAGAAGACGGGGGCCTGAAGTCTTTTATGTGTTAACATAAGCAGTTTGTTTGGCGCTGTTGACACACCGTGGAGTGGAACACAAACGAAATTTGACATTTTTGGAAAAACCAGAAGTGCCATTTAGATCTCCCAGATAAGCAAGCCCGTATGTACTTAGAAGCAAACTAAGTAGGCTGTCTGTGTTTTATCCCCGAATGACCTAAACCAAACGAATCTTTTAAAATACGAAAAAAAAAATCGATAAGAAATTCATTACAAAATACCATAAATTATGCACTGTTAGCGCCCTTTCTCTTAGTAAGATACCTCATCGTGAATCAAAAAATCGCCAAATCGGAATTAGGTGGTGATGCCCAACTCATACCAAAGAAACCCCGCGAGTCGGCTAAAACCCTGCCAAATATCTCTGTCAGGAGCTCCGTTGTACCAGCAATTTCTTTAGGAAACAGAACAAACTCCAGCAGGCTGAACATCAGGCGATGGAGGATTATTAATTTCAAAAAATCACGCTTACTGGGCAACAGCTGTGGAGAGATCGTGCAGATCTATTTCAT